GTGAAGAAAGGCTCCTTCCCGTTCTGTACCAGGCGAACCAGTTTTTTGACGAGCCAGCTGCGGTTCCATTCAGAGTTCGCCCAATATGTCAACTGAAGCGGGTAGCTAAGTTTACGATACAGCTGTTCGTTCAAGATGTGAACTGAGGCGTGAACTCCGTCGACAATAACGTGATGGTTTTCTGTCAGTGGATGACGCACAGCGCCAAAGTAAGTCATCACATCTAAAGGAAAATTCAAGAAAAAAAGCTTCACCGTTAAAAGACTATGAGAACGTGAGTTACCCTTGCTGGAATCTGGTTAAACTCACAGGACACTGATCACAGTCAAATATCAACTTCTCAATTCTTGGGTTTACTTCACCCACCTGTAACCTTAGTGGGAACCAGCTTTCCATTATTCATAATCCAAATGGTATCATCTTCTTTCACATCCATAGCCATGATTGGAACTTTAAGAGGCGCATTTTTGGTTGACTGGCCGTTTTTTGTTGCGTAAATGAGATGACGTGCACTGATGCCAATAGAATGGGTCGCGTTGGAATGATCTCTATACACGATGCGAAGAAGTTGGGCGCGAGCGTCTTGCTGCTCATGCTCAATGTAGTAGACTTTGCTGTAAACCCGCTGTCCGGTTTGCTCGTCTACCGACTCAACCATGTCGCCAAGGCTGATAGAGTGAAGTGGCTTGGACACAACACTACCCGTTTTCATCTTGAGATTCACGAGTGATTCTGCTGAAAAACATCCTCCGCTTCTACCGACCGCTCGAACTACTGAGGCCCCTGATGAGACAGATCTGTTGATAGATAGGGTACGAAGATAAGTTAATTTCATGGCAAGGGACAACTCTAATTCACGTATGAAAGATACAAGAAGCACGGCGTGTTAAATCGGTGACACTTGATAATAAGAAATCCATTTAATGAATGTTTATCAATCTATAAAATTAGTTAATCCAAAATCGATTGATATGATTGATATGATCAATCGATAATGAATAATCGCAAAAAATGTTTCGCAGCAGAATTACACATATTATCAATTTTTGCGTGCTTTATCGGACCTCGTGTTACAAAATCACGAACAAAATGTCTGGTTAAATCACGCCGCATCGACAGTGGGAAATTGCCCTTGTGATATCCGATGTCGTTGTAAAAGCGCGGATCCACACTGGTTTCCACCATTTTATACTTTTTATTAATAACAATAAAAAACACTTTCTATGTTGAAATCGAGCGAAGAAATTATCCGCCAATTTAAAGCGCTTCATCCGAGGAACTGGCCAATATCCTATCTGAATGACTCAGAAACCCAGGAAAGGGGAGTTAAAATAAAGAAATCCAAGGGGGAGTATGCTCACTGACTCCCCTAGAAGCTTGCGCCTTCGGCGCTCGTTTAGCTAGGAATTCGGTCAGTATTTATCCTAGATCCGTGCGTAAAAAGAGTACCAGAAGTGTTCATTTTCTGCAATGCTTTGAAGTCTTGGGCTCTGATTCCAACCAGGGTCCGCTCAGAATGTACACTGAATCGGCTAGCTGAGTTTACGATACAACTGTTCAGTCCATCCACAATCGATGGCTGAATCCATAAAGTTGGCATCAATTAATCGATTTTATTGAAAATCGATGGTTGCTCGAATTATTACAGTAATAAAAGTCATCGCTCGATCTCCCATTTCCAATATCAATCGATCAGTTGACATCAGTTGACATTGATTGATATCAATTTCATCGATTTTATTGATTAAGCATACCGGGAAAAAAGGGAGATGGAGATTAAAGGCAATGAAAAACATTGAAAGCATAAATGAGAGAAAATTACAGATAATCCCACCACTTACTGGGTAAACTCAGAATCACTTGTTGCGGCGATATGGCTTTGAGCTGCTAACAACCCCACCTTTGCAACAGTAAAAAGCACAATTGCAGTGAAAAAGCCAATGAGACGTTTTTCTGCACATTCACTACCTCCCACGGCCGCGCATCCTTTGCGATTCATTTCGGTCAATTTATTTTTATCTCTCTTCTTGCTAATGTCGAGATCGTTCAAGAAAACACCGATAGCTTGGATGAACTTTACAGTTTTTACTCCATTCGGCAAATTGTCTAAATTTTGCAGCATCTGGTACTTGGAGCAGGTCATGATGCAGTCCGAGTCTCCCTTGGCCAGCAGTCCGGCTAGAAATTTAACATCCTTGTGTTCGCAGTCTGCGATTTTCTCCTCGTTACATATCCCAACGAACGTCTCATAAAAATTTAGCTCTAACTGTCTTCTCTCCGCTGGGGTCATCTTTTTGAAGCTCTCAACTTCTTGGACAGGATTTTTGGGTTTGTGTGGAAGCTCAAATTTGCTCAATTCTTCATTCTTTATCTCATGAACATCCGCTTGCAGTTGGGATTTGGTACCCTGTAGGACAGAAAAAAACATACCAAATACATATCATGTTAGTTTAAGTTCAGAAATGTACTAAAACAAACCATAAACTTCGTCCTGTAACAGGAAAGGGATCTGAAATAGACATTTCATATACATTTTTTACAGGTAAGCTCAGTGTGGTCAGAGGAAATTTCCTAAAATAATAATAATAAAAATAATTATAATAATGATAATAATAATAATAATAATAATAATAATAATTATAATAATGATAATAATAATAATAATAATAATTATTATTATTATTATTTTTTTTTTTTTTTATTGAGCCACTTAAAAGAAATGGAAAAGAAAAAAAAGAGAGGAAAAGAAAATAGAAAAACAGGCGTGAAGAAAAAAGGCGCGAAATTATTACGGGACGTTTCAGTGCTTCCGACGAAGGTGAATGAAAGCTGACATTTAAGCTGGTCAGTTCAAAGTGTCATACCGCTCAACACGGAATGAAGAAATAAGTGCGGAAAATGCATATGGTAATTACCTCTGAAATGTGATATAGACTTGACAATGCTCAGAAAAGTTTCCGATATCTATTTTAGCATATTGATTTTAAACGATCTCTTCATTGGGGCTGTAAAAAAAAATTTACAACCAGCAAGTTTGAAAGAAACAGCGATCAACTCACCCAGTACTTCGATCTTTGAAAATTTAGCGCTGATGAGGGTACCGAAAAGCTACATCAACTACAGCTGTCCTTCATCTCTAGCTGCGAGTTTTTTGTGACTTTTCGCTGCTTTGTTGCGGACGACAAGAAGAGCCCGCAGCCTAATCTTGACTTTGTCAGCGGCACTTTATTAAATGTATAGTGAGATTTTTCTCGATCTATGCACACTCCTGACGTTCCCGTGTTCTTCCGACAAATATTCATGATATGTGGCCGCGAAGGCCCTGGTGTTGAGTTTGAGGTCCGAGTGATGTCAAGGTAATCACGTTAATACACGTGCAAGTGACGCAACAATCAGTATTACACAAGCACTGTACTAAATGTAAGATTTTGGAATCTGTTAACCCGGGGTAATGAAAGTAGAGCCTGATCTCAGCGTAGTGCCGGACAAGTCTTCGATAAGGTATGAGTGTTAGCAAAGTCTAGAAATCAATGTCAGTTTATTCAGGTTTTACAACAGTGCATGGTTTTCACATGTTTCTAAGCATGTTACGTTACGCTACTTGTCATTCGAGTGAAAGCTTCAATAAGCTTTAAACTCAAGTGGTAATTTAAGCTGTTTCATTATTTTCTGTTGCATATCAACGGCCTTTGGCCATTGGAAACGAATTCAATATTCGATTGAATTTAAATAAGATTTCGTGCAGTCATACACTGTAAACATTCATTACTTGTGTCTCGCATTACTGTTTCAATGTATCTTCGCCAGCGAATACAGCCTCGCTCCTTACCATTCGCAGGCTACTTGTATCTAAGCAAATGTGAATAAAATCGTTGAATTAATTGTTAGTCTTGTTTACTTTGTTGTTGAATCCAGTTTTCACGATCGGCAGTGATATCCTTTTGTTGACCCTGGAACTAAAAGGGCTTACACATTCCAAAAGCGGTTTTCATCAATCACATCTTCGTCCGCATGTCCTAGCCAACTGCTACTGTTAGTTTAGGTAACCGTTTGTTTGTTCAGTTCGTTTTTATTCTGAATCAGTGAGCTTTTCATAAGATAAGAACTCAGTACGGGATTAAGAAATTATACACCATTTTGTTGCGTTAATTTGTGTAGTGTAGCTCTTAGTAGTAGCTCTCAATTTCAGAACGCTAACTAAATAGCGAAGCTCCACGCGCGCGAACCGCGCGCGAGCGGAGCCCCATAGCGAAGTAAATCTACCCATTCCAGAAAATTTGGTAATCACGTGACCGTACACGCCCGTCCGTCCGAACTGCAGGCAAACCAATGTTCAATCTCATACTTTCTAGCTAGTTTAGGAGCACATGGAAACTGTTAATGCTCACATGTTGCACATCAATGTTGTGATCAATTTACAGCTGTCAAAACAGGGTATCCGCTGGCCAGTATCAACTGACGGCATCGCGGGCTCAGAATGTAGCTTGTTTACTTTCACAGCTGAAGCTGACAGAGGTTTGTGTCAACTTGTGATGTTTTTAACGGTCTTTTTCTACTGGATGTACAAAATGAAATTCATTCAGCTGCTATCAGGAGTCTTCTGTTATTCATGGCTAGTTTTTTTTATTGGGTTTTTGGTTGAGAAATCCTTCGCGTGTCAAAGTCGGAAATCCAATTTCAGATGCCATAGTTATGGTTTTTCACCTTACTTGATACGTGAGAGGGTTGAGTCTGAAGCGATACTGGCCTTACTTGATAGCTTTCATGAGCTGCATCGCGAATGGTAAACCTGAGTAACTATTGTGTTTGATGTTTTAATGAAGTCGAGCGAAGTTAATGCGACTATTTAGTTTATGCACGTTTGTAAGATTTAAGACAATGATCTGACCGAGTATCAGGTTTGAAACAAGCTTACAGAACTTGAACAAGCCTTTAGACATTTTCTTACCGCAAATAGAAAGAAAACGTTCCAAATATTTTTTAGTTCTAATTCTAGCTGAAAAAGAATAAAGCTTTGAGCGATTTTCTTGCCTCGCGTTCATCTTTGAAAAACTGGCGAACACCGGGAAACGAGCTTAAAACACAAACTTAAGCTTTCAGCTTGAAGACTCAGGATTTTTAGAGACACTTTGACACTGGTCTTCGTAAATGAAAATTGTTGTCTCTGTATATGTTTCACCGAATCATATTTCTTTTATTGATTGTTAGTAGTCTCTCTTGTAATTTTAATCGCTGTGCCGTTTGTTTTCAGTCGTTCATGGACATCGCTTGCAAGAGTACTCAAAATGCCGCGCGTATCAAATGCTTTTGAAGATTACACATCGACAAAACCATTGAATAAAAAATAAACTTAATAAATTCTTTATTATGTTGAAGCGTAACTCTATTAATGTTCATTCAAACGCTCAACCACAGTTCGCACTGCAAAAGTGAGAACCGGCTGGCCGCATAGGTGATTTTGGAATTTTTTTAACGGTTTCGCTAAAAGCCTACGCTTGCTTCGATCGTCCTGAATATTGAATGAGTGCAATTTGTATTGCCAAATTGTAAATTACTACATTGAAAGGTTGGTTTACACCCCCCGCCCCCCACCCCCCCTAGATTTGTTGGCAAGATTTAATTTGTAAAGTAAACTTGCCGAACGCAAAAAATTCGGCCTTATTTGTTTTCCAAGAATTTGCTTTCCAAGCCTAATCTACTGTGATCAAGAGCCATTATGGCTCTTAAATGTGATCGAAGATGATTGCTNAACAAGCTTACAGAACTTGAACAAGCCTTTAGACATTTTCTTACCGCAAATAGAAAGAAAACGTTCCAAATATTTTTTAGTTCTAATTCTAGCTGAAAAAGAATAAAGCTTTGAGCGATTTTCTTGCCTCGCGTTCATCTTTGAAAAACTGGCGAACACCGGGAAACGAGCTTAAAACACAAACTTAAGCTTTCAGCTTGAAGACTCAGGATTTTTAGAGACACTTTGACACTGGTCTTCGTAAATGAAAATTGTTGTCTCTGTATATGTTTCACCGAATCATATTTCTTTTATTGATTGTTAGTAGTCTCTCTTGTAATTTTAATCGCTGTGCCGTTTGTTTTCAGTCGTTCATGGACATCGCTTGCAAGAGTACTCAAAATGCCGCGCGTATCAAATGCTTTTGAAGATTACACATCGACAAAACCATTGAATAAAAAATAAACTTAATAAATTCTTTATTATGTTGAAGCGTAACTCTATTAATGTTCATTCAAACGCTCAACCACAGTTCGCACTGCAAAAGTGAGAACCGGCTGGCCGCATAGGTGATTTTGGAATTTTTTTAACGGTTTCGCTAAAAGCCTACGCTTGCTTCGATCGTCCTGAATATTGAATGAGTGCAATTTGTATTGCCAAATTGTAAATTACTACATTGAAAGGTTGGTTTACACCCCCCGCCCCCCACCCCCCCTAGATTTGTTGGCAAGATTTAATTTGTAAAGTAAACTTGCCGAACGCAAAAAATTCGGCCTTATTTGTTTTCCAAGAATTTGCTTTCCAAGCCTAATCTACTGTGATCAAGAGCCATTATGGCTCTTAAATGTGATCGAAGATGATTGCTGTTTTTTGGGTGTACATATGGGGCTGTCAACTCGATGTAAGATTTGGTTCACTGGCTTGGACTGTTTGCAAATTATTTTTCTCTAAAATCTCTTAGCCTTTCACTCAAAAGTCACGCGAACGTGCTCTAAAGTTAACCGATTTGTGGAACACAAGTTTATTGTTTGATTTAAATCATAAATTTATTAATGGAAGCTTCGATTTTAACCCTGGGTAAATCTATATATTATAATCTTAGCAAAATTTCATTCACTTCTATTTGAGTATCAGTATTTGAGAAATGACGAGAGTTAACGGGGCCCGGCAACGTCACTAGACAGTTTCTTAAAATTGACATACGCGCAATTAATCTTTATAACTCCGCCACAGCAAAACATTCAAAATCGTCTAGGCTTACAACAGAATCTAGCCCAACGAAGAAAAGGCAGTATATGATCGCAATTTTATGATAATGTAGCATCAGTCCTGTCTTAAAGAATAAGAAACTGTTTCTTTACCTGCACATTTCCCTTCACGGAATTCAAGAACCCGAGGACGACACTAATAAATATCCACGATAGCCAGGACATCTGAAAGATAAGTGAGTGATATATAGTGCCTCAGAAATCAACACATTATAGAGATTTATAGAGATATATAGAGATAGATAAATAGACACACAGATAACATTTTAACCCTTAAATGAATAGTCTTGGGTTATAGAAAAAATGTAGTAAAGCAAAAAACTCACTGAAGTGCTTATTGCATCAGCATGGTAAGATTTCAAGTAACATTTCTGAATTAGAAATGTCTATTTTTCCCCCAATTTTTTTTTTTCTAAGTACGACTAAAGCCATGAAGAACGTTGATTGTATACTGATATAGTCAGTTATATCTATTTAAATACAGATATAGCATTCTTCTTTTATAATTATTTTTTGTAGAAATTGTCCGCTAAGGGAAATGAAGCAATCCATATCAAGGCGCTATATTAAGAGTAACCTGTAAGAAAGATTCATTTTTTAGTCTCCCCTTCTATTTTCTCTATAATAGATCTTGAATTAACTAGGCGTGGAAATTTACAAAATTAGGCGATATTTCATCCATTTTAGCTTGTCAAACCGTGCTAACAGGAGACATTACTTTTTTTGAAACAAGTATTTTGTAGAATAAGGCTCCGGCCTTAAGCCCAGTGCAGTGATGTTCAATTAGTTGTATTTGCCGATTATCGGAAGAGTGTTTTGAAGCCAGTCAGTCACGCTGAGGATGTAACATATAGTACATGGCAAGACCAAAAAAAGGTAAATTTGGTTTCTCTGAGAAATATTCTTTTCGTCCAATTTTAAGTGAAAAAATCATTGGTTGGTATGCGCCTATGTAATAGTTTAAAATCGAAACTCAATCGGCTTGGTGCTTTTGTGCACCGTGGCGCCATACGAGAGGCAGTTTCCCAATGAAATGGTCCTTCTTCATCTGAGTAGATACAGTCTTGAAGCCATTTTTGTTGGCGAG